ATACTAGGTAGAGATTCCTAGGCTAGGTACAGAGCAAACAGAGGGGGGAGAGCCAGAGGTATTTATGCTTTCTCTCCTCTGTCTGTATTTCTAAGCAGAACGTTCTAGACTCCTCTAGGTGGGTCTACTGCATCTATGCTTAGTATTGCTGTATATGCAAGCAAGATTACGTAGGTGCATGCGTAATTGTATACGTCAGCATCTTACAGAGTAGGCTACTCTATTTGTAAGCAGAGGGTCTAGAACATTTCTAGTTACTAAAAATAGAGAACAGCATATCTTAAGAACGAGAGGAGATACAGGCTTTGTAAGCACACCATTCTAATCCGCTCTTCTTAGAGATTACAATAGCAATGCTTAGGTAAGCATAGCGCTATACCTAAGAGGGAAATACGCTAGATAAAGATTATAAGAACAAAGTCTTATAACTTTACATAGCCCAACAAGTGCCTACACCTGGAAAAGAGACTATCTAATAGCTAGAAACAGCTATCTACAAGCTGTCAAAATAGCTAAACGCGACCATTGGAACCAATTCCTAGAGAGAGAGGACCCTAAATCAATCTTTAAAGCTATGGCATATACTAGAACTACTTATAGCTAGAATATACCTGCTATCTAAGGGCTAAGGGGAGTAGAGGAATCTTTTCAAGGCAAATGCTCTGCACTAAGGGAAACTCTCTTCCCTAGCCCTCCTGCCTCTAGGCCTATAGAGTGGGACAACTACCAACCAAGCAACTAGGAATGGCCTAATCTTACTATAGAAGAGCTAGAATACGCTTGCTCACCACAAATCTAAAGCAGCTCTCTAGGACTAGACGCCCTAACACAGGAGATTATTACTACAGCATATAAAGCACAGACAGAAATATTCTTTTATGTTTTCTCTACTTTGTTTAACTACAGCTACTACCCACAGGAATAGAAGAAAGCAGCAGGAATTATCCTAAAAAAGCTAAACAAGCCTAATTACGCTGTAACGTGTTTTATAAGCGAGTGCGCATTACAAGCGAGTGCGCACCCCACCAACTTTTTGCAACGCGTGAACTTATACTATCATGGCACCCCCAACTTAAGCCCAGCCAGCTTCTTATGAGGCTAATATACACCTTGCTATCTTAGCTCTCTAGCGAAATCAAATTCAGAGTGAGGCAGTCGCTGCACAGACGTTTAATGTCTCTCAAGACACACTCCACCGCCGACTTGCTGGCAAGCCTGCCCGACGCAATTGCCAACCTAACTCAAAGAAGCTCACTAAGCAAGAAGAGGAGGTGATAGTCAGCTATATACTCGATCTAGATCGACGTGGATTTGCGCCTACGTACGCAGCCGTACGTGATATAGCTAATAAGCTGCTGGCTGCGCGCGGCGCTGGTCAGGTCGGCGTCCACTGGCCGCGCAACTTTGTCAAGCGTACAGACAGTCTCACAACGCGTTTCAATCGAGCGTACGACAGGCAGAGAGCTCTATGTGAGGATCCTGTACTGATCAGGAGCTGGTTTGAGCTTGTAGAGCAGACAAAGGCTAAGTATAGCATCCTTGACGAGGACGTCCACAACTTTGACAAGACTAGCTTTATGATAGGCAAGATCACAACCTAGCTTGTTGTGACAGGATCAGAGAGGAGAGGCCGGCCGAAGGCTATCCAGCCTGGCAATCGCGAGTGGGTCACGGTGATCCAGGGAATCAATGCTGCTGGCTGGGCTATCCCACCGTTCATCATCTTTGCTGGCCAGTACCACCTTTCTGCCTGGTATGAGGAAGACATCCCACGCGATTAGACTGTTGCAGTTAGTGAGAACAGCTGGACAACTAACGAGCTTAGAGTTGAGTGGCTAAAGCACTTTATTAAGCATACAGATGGCAAGGTAGTTGGGGCGCGCCGGCTGCTGATCCTGGATGGCCATGAGAGTCACCACTCTCTTGAATTTCAGGAGCTCTGCAAGAAGAACAATATCTGCACGCTCTGCATGCCGCCTCACTCATCCCACCTGCTGCAGCCGCTTGACGTTGGCTGCTTCTCGCTGTTGAAGCGCGCGTACAGCCGCGAGATTGAGGCGCTGATCTGCCACCACATCAACCACATTACGAAGCTTGAATTCCTGCCAGCATTTAAGGCAGCGTTCAATCAATTGTTTACCTCAGCCAATATCTGCTCAGCCTTTCAAGGTGCAGGCCTTGTACCTCTCCAACCAGACGTTGTACTGTCAAAGCTTGACGTGCAGCTGCGTACACCTACTCCAGCTGCTCTGCCAGAGGCTCCCTGGCAGGCTCGTACGCCGAGCAACGTACGTGAGCTTGAGGCTCAATCAACGTTGATTCGTGAGCGCGTAAGAAAGCATAAGAGCTCCTCGCCAGCTTCAATTATTGACGCGATTGACCAGCTCAAGAAGGGCGCTGAGGTGATGATGCTCTCAGCTGAGCTGATGCGCGATCAGATCACTGGCCTTGAGAGAGCAAATGAG